AGCGGCTGCACCGGGCGGGGGGTTTCGTCCCCGCCGCTGCCCGCCGTGTCCCGGCTCGGCCCCTGCCCCTGCCCTTGCCCCTCTCTGGGGTCGGCGGCAGTACCAAACTTCCTCCCTTTGTCTGGGCGGCCGCGGCTTGTCTGCACCCAGCCTGTCATTAAGTCCCGGCAAGCTGTCATCTAGTTTGGGCGGACTGTGATTTCCCCCGCGCCCCCGAGGAGGAGGGAGGGTGGGGAAGAGTTAATGCTTGCTTTGACCTTTTGGATGACTTCAGATACTTAGATCATCCCCCCGCTGACTGACACACGCATCCACTCACCCGATCCCCTCGTCTTCCTTCCCCCGCGTGGTGCTCCGACGGGGACACCGCAAAGGACAGATGTCTGCATTTACTTTTTCATCTGCCCTTCCTGCCTTAACACCGCCGAGAGAGTGAGAGGAGGTTGGCAAATGGCTCACTCGCTGCAGAGAGCCAGGGCTGGAAGGCGGCCTGGGTCCCAGGAAAGCGAGAGGAGTGGGACCCCAGAGGAGCCCGACCCCGCTGGCCGCCCTGCTGCCAAGGTGTGTGACCCAGCATCACTCGGTGCCTCGTCCTGCCCCGAGTCACAGACAAACGTGTGGGAGACGAGAGTCCTTATTATGTCCTCTTGCCTCTCCAGGTCCCAAGAGGGTGCCAGGAGCAGGTGCTCCTTAGCTGTGGGACTCCAAGGGGGATGCAGCTCTCCAGTCTGGTACTAGCTTGCAAACAGCATCTTGTCCAACCTTTGCTGTCTGCGAGGAACGGGCTGCGTGTCACTGGTACTTAGCAGCAGCAGCAGCGGGACTGTTGTGGTGGGATGCCTGGAGGATGGCAGACCAGCACCCGCTCGGTAGCTTCCAGAGGCTGCTTCGAGTCTCACACTTCTGTAAAGAACAGGTTACCTACTGCAACAAACACTTTGAAAATTAATATTCCCATGTAAATTATGACATTAACATAACCCTGAGGTTATGTTTATGAAATATTTAATGCATCAAAGTCTTGCAGGTGTTCTTTCTTCTTTTTCTATTTTTCTGGAAATGGTGATAGCAGTGACCAAAAGTTCATTTCTCAACCTCCTGGTATTTCTTTTTCTACATTTCAGTATTTTATCATCACCAAAAATTCTTGACTGGAGTCAGTAAGTTCCAAAATTAAGAGTTATGTATCAGGAAGGTCACATGACATTTTTTGGGCATCGGTCCAGGATTATTCAACATTTTAAAATTTAAACATTTTCTCAGTTACTTTAGTTATAAAGTTAAGACTGTTGAAAACATCTTAAAGGGAGGGAGAGAGAAGGCGGTGGCATATCTCGATCAAAAAAAGAACCTGTAATTTTTCTCCCACTTTTTCTTGGATGGCTTTTACTTTTCATTTGAGCCTAATAGATAACTGTTCAGCACTGACAACATTTTGTTGACTTCTCTGGGATCTGATCAAACCCTGGATTCACATATAAGTCTGGGTCCAAACTCCCAGATACCTCTGGGAGAGGTGCTAAAGATGAGATCTGGGATAAGGAATGTACTTTGGATAACAACCTCAGAAACTCTCATTAAAAAAGTTTTAGTTTGTCAATGAGAAGGCATATGGTGCACAAGAGGCCAATGTAATGTTCTCCCATGCTACAGCATAATTCCAACTGTCCAGCCATATTGTCTAGGAAAAACAGGAATGCTTAGAAGGGCTAGTGGTAATTAAATGGTGCGTCTCACTGCTTATCTCTTGTGTTGTCTTTGATTTCCCAAATGACAGGAAAAGTTGGTTAAGCTTGCACAATGCCCTGTCTCACTGAGCAAGGATCTAGGCTTTCCAGGAAGGTACAAATTAGCCTGTGCAGATTACCCCACAGATTATGAAATCTTTCCTATTTACATTTCAGAACTGTAATAACTCAGCAGTGCAATAATGGAAAGACAGGTCAGTCATTCCTCATGCAACAAGAGGAACCCTCTTGTAGTCTGGGAGTCTTGAAGTGTAAGGATAAATCACTTAAACGAATCGTCTTCTTTTTGCTCCTGGTTTTGCCCTTTTAGCCTCTCTCTACTGTTAGAGCACTGCCTTTAAACAAGAGAGCCTGTTAGCATGTCCCGAGTTGTGGATGACACTAAATCCTTGTCAAACAGTCTGACCTGGAAATCTCAAAGCTGACCTTTCCCAACTGAGAGATAAAGCACCACAAATCCCCAATTAACTTTTAAGACACAACGCAAGTTTTGTACACTTTGGACCAAATTCCATCCTGATGTAAAAAGATGCTGTCCTCCTGAGTCTCTGGGAGCTGCAAACGGCTTTCATTAAGGTTGTGTTTCATCCCCTGGGTTTGTCCGTGAAACCATTCATGATCCTTCCAGTAACAGCCTCAGTAGCTGGGGATTCCTGATTATATAGTATTTTAGCCACATAAGGAATATTGCTCTAAGCATTATAAGCACTCATATGAAGGAATAGCTTGAGAGACATGGACATGCTGGGAAAGCTGCTGATCATTTTATCCACATGTCCTTCAAACTGTCTTATATAAGGGCCCTGTTTTATATCACCTCTTCTTCAGTTCTCTGTCACATTACTAGGGGTAGAAAGCCATGAACCCAAGGTGTCAACAAATCAGTCCTATGTCTGTCTACTGCCTCCTGGTAGTAGTCAAGGCCTAGCAGAGATGTCCTACCCAACACCACCTGTCTTTCACCATTAATTTAATTCTTCCTTCTTGGAAATCAAAAAATCTGTTCAGCTTTTATTGTTCTGGCATTAGGAGTGTCTGACATTTCTATGTAATTGCACAGGGGTGATAGCAATTACTATGGGAGATAGTAGTGTTTTCTGTAAAATTTTAGGAAGAGCCAGTCAAATCCAAGAAAATTGCCTGCTCAACGTGTTCTAAAGTAATATCAAGCAAACAACATTTGATAGACTCGTGATCAACACAGGCCTATAGCTGGGAACTGGACCCAGGTTTGGGTGAGTATCTATCCAAGAATCTACCTGTAGCAACACGGACAGCTTTGTCCCTCCTGAGAATTGAAAGCCTCTGTTAACTTTATGGGACATTTTTAATATGCGTATCAGCAAGATCAAGCTTGCCTGCAACAGGAGGCTGTTCAAATCTTTATCCCCCAGAAATCTATTGGTAACACTTTGCTGCCTCTCAAAACCACCATGTTTTATTGGTCTTGTCAGCAGTTTTAACAATACAAACATTATGATTATAATGTCAAGTCTATTAATTTTAAAGCTTTCCTATGGTGATGCATTAAAACCACTGAAGACATTTATTTCCAAAGTGGTCATTATTAAATAAAATGGTCATTATAAATAATTTTGCAAAGAACTCTTACAGATGAATATTTTTGGTTAGTGTTCTGGAAAGGACTAGCTATACTGGCATTTGGAATAAGTTTTAACAGCCTTTGACCTCGACCCTAGGACAGCAGCATAGTCAACATTGTCCCTTATTTGGACTATGTGTCTTTATGTGTCTTGAATGTTATGAAAACCCATTCACATGGAGACCTCCTGCCAGTTGTTTTGACTGACTCGAACTTGCTTGTTGATACTGAAATAGGTTTGTGGTTGATAAATAAGCCAGCATCACCATTATTGGTGTATCCTTCCTGCCAGTCTTACCAGATGCATCGGGAACTGAGCACTTCTGGAGTCTGAGTTAACTTCTTCATCCTTCTCATATTGCATGTGGCAAAGGCAGTAGCGGGAAGCTTGCTGTGGGCTTCACGTTCTCTCATTTCCACGCCTGGCATTTCCTCCACACACAGCTGGCATTTCAAAGTCCAGTCCAAAGTTTTTGCAGGCCCTAAATTATTCATTGAAAGTTCAAGTAACGTCTACCTCAGAAAAACAATTTAAAAGTGTGTTCACATTGAAGACATGTTGCTGCAGTTCCTCAGTGTGCAGATTCCTGGATGGTGTTAGTCAGGTTGTACCTTTGTGCCCTTCACAAGCCACCACTGCATAGGACCCACCACCCGTAGTTGTTGTAATTGGCCAGGTTTAGAATAAAAATATCTTCAGTTAGAATAAAATCATGAATTTAAAGCAGTCACGTTTGGTAAGAAATGTAAGTCTTTTTGGTGTGAAGCACTGTAGCTTTAAGGCAAAATGTTTTACTTGCTTCTTTATGGTCAATGACATCTTCTTCAACTGCAGCCATGTGGGAGCGAGGGAGACGCCTTTGGCTTGGGGTTTAATTTTTTATAAGTGGCATGTGTAAGTAATGTATCAAGTATATAACAGTTCCAGCAGGCTGAAAATTTTACATTTGACATCAGCTTCATTTTTCTGTAAGAGCTAGAGAGACAGCCATAAAGGGTATAATGTTAAAGCTAGATTGGGCACCATTTAAATAGCTGTATTGTTTTAGTGTAACAACACAAGAATATTGTGAATCTGTGGGTACTGTATCAAATTAAAATAGGAAACTGTCCGAGGCCTGGCTAGAAATCAAATTGTTAGGGTATCCACTTATGGAGGAGGAAAAGAGATTTCTGCAAGATAGATCATATATAAAAATATATCCCATAATAGAAGTATACCTCGTGCCTGCATAGCATGATCTAGAGGAGGGGTGAGTTTACTGATCAAAAGAAGCTATGACATTGTTCAATCAGGAGGAAAAGGAGGCGCAAACAACAAATTCTATTTCCTAGGTATTGACATAGAGAATAGACTGGAATGGGGTCCTCACCTTCCTACAACGGATGCAAGAAATGAACTCACATAAACCATAAGTGAATAATTGTGACCATTGAACCTACTATGAATTTTGTTTGAAAACACATGTTGGGTGGAGGCAGTGCTCTGCAGGAAGTATCAGATGTTAGTATAGTAAGTATAAGACCCTCATCCTTTTTTTTTTTTTTTTTTTTTTTTTCTGAACAGCAGCAAGATAATCAGAGGAAGGGTAAGATGTTAAACTTTCCTTATAAAAAAATGACACTTGTTATAAAAATACACTTTAAGAGTGCAAGATATGCACATGATGTATTCTACAGCTGTTCTTTCAGAAGACTAGAAGGCCTGAAAAACTCTGGAGTCTAGTTTGTATGAGGAGCAGCAGACATTTAATTAATCTCAGTCCTAGAATTTTACAGCCAATATGTGGTCTCTGAACATCTTTGCTCTAGTTAGCAGAACATCTGTAGTAGAAAAACAGAACTTGACTAAATCTGAGTACTCCAAACCTTACTGCTTTTTATCATTATTTCTTTAAATATTTTTCCAAAGATTTGTATGTTCAGCTTCTCTCTGTCCTCCCGGCTCCATTCGTGAATCTACCCTTGCAGCCAGCTATGTGCCTTAAAATTTTCAATGAGTCACATCTAAACAAAAACTAATTCAATACTGATTTAACAGGCAAATAGCCTCCCTGCATTTCTAGCCAAATCTTGTGTGTTTTTTTGCACATAGGCTGGATATATGTTCTTGCATATATTCTGAAATAGCTGGATCTGAAATACTGGGGCAATTATAATAAAAGAAATACCTCAAATGTTCTTTTTTTTTTTTTTTTTCTTCAGTCAAGTTCTTAGTTGATGCAAATTGGGATAGTTCCATGTGGGCAAACTGTTAGAGGCATAGCTTTATGAATTTACACATCTATAAATGATATTCCAGTACTGTAGGTGGAATATCTTTTTCCATGTCATCTGAGGCATACACCAGAAAATGTACTTCCCTAGACTTCAAAGTTAAAACTGTAAGAGTGATTAAAGAGAAATTTAAAAGAAACATTCACTTGCCAGATCTCACCTGGCATTAATACACACGCTGCACCACTTAAGATATCAAGTTCTGGTTGCTGTGTGCACAGATTTTTCCATCTGAATCCTGGTTGCCCTGAAACTCGGGGAGAGAGAACTTTGCAGGTCCTCTGAGGCAGGGGCCGGGGGGAGCACTCTCAGGTGGCACCACTGCCTGGCACAAAGCTTCATCTGACTTGCCCTCGCTCGAAATAGAATCTTTGCCCTGAAAGGGAAACGTGGAGGCCCTGCAAGCTGCTCTCCCTACAGATATTTCTGTAGCATTAATCCACAAGTAAGATCATTTTGTGAGCACTTCTTTGTCTTGTATGTTGTCTAAGAAAGCATGTAGGTGTGCACAGGGTGCATCAAGGATGGGATCATGAATGTGCTTTTGGAGTGACTCTTCCTACCATCTCCACTTAACTGTGCTTTGGTTTACACCAGTTGGGGGTCATGTAGCACACAAACAGGATTCCTTTGGAATGAAACTAAACCAGAAGATACTTTCCTGTGGGCATACAAGGCACAGGACTAGACTACAGCTGGACAAAATTCCACTGAAAGGCATACTGTGTGGATGTCACGTCCTTGGCACCAACTGTTCTGCTGTCCAGATCTCCTCTGATCCAGCTGCACTGCTTCCTAGAGAGGACAGTCCTGCTACTACCATTGAGGAACATCAGAAGGACACAAACGGGCTGCAGCGTCAGTTGAAGGCGACACGATACTCCATTTCAGATGCAAATGTTTTTGACACTTTTGCAGACTAGGATGCTGTATGAGGAACTGATGAGTGCATATGTAAGACAGGGAGGTAGTTTTCCAAATATATTTCACTGTCTTTAACAGTGGAAAGCATACATTTTAATAATTATCACATATCTTGTAATGCACACACTTCTGTCAAAAGGGCCAGGAGGTCCATGTAATGTTTAAATGCTGTGTTAGTCTTATTTTAAGGGCTAAAATGGGTCTCAAATGGTGCCTAAGGCTTATGCTGGCCTTGGGCATAAGGGCACAATTCACCCTGAAAGAAGATACCAAACATAAGTCTCATCACAGCTGCAATATTCATTTCTGGAATGCACCCAGCAGGTCTTATCCAAGCCACTACAGACAGGCAGTTTGAGTTTTTCCAGTTCCTAATGATTACACAGTATCCTGGAGTCAGTTGGACAATTTCCACCAAGAGTGAAACTCTTTGTATTTAATATCCCCCTAAAATAAAAGTGGTATAAGAGAAGGGCCTCAGTCTTTTTCTTCTTTTATTGCTGTTGTTGAAAAGGTTTAGCCCACAGGGATTGGAGCACTGGGCAAAACTACAAAATATGCAGTACATCCTGTTACACCAAAGTAGGCAGATCCTCTCCCATAACAACCAGACTGGTACAATGGAAGACTTTGTCTAGTTTTCCTGACATACGGTACTATAGCGTGCATGGTATTTCATTATGGTTTCCATTTAAGGAAGTTAAATGGTGGAAATCGCTAAGTATCATGACTCCATTTTCACCATTGTTCCGGGAGGGGGTGTGTTTAAAAGGAATGGGTAAATCTCCCTGGAGCTCTATTACATGATACTGCAATGTACCACAGGAAATTATTTCCCTCTTTACTGGACACCCAGAATATCATCAAATATGAGTCTTGAAAATGTTCAGCAACCATGCTGCAAATAAATTTGCAAAGAAATAAACAAAGTGCCTAACAAATATAACATATGGACAGAGTAGAGAATAGCTTGATCTTAAGTTGATCTAACAACTGGTCTTTTCAAAATCCATCTATCATGATCCTCAGCAGGAGAAAAAGCAGAGCAGATCCACTACACAACAATACTACCCCCACTATACATCATGCTCTAAAATGTCATTCCTATCTCTTGTGACCTGGAATAGATTTACAAAACAGTATAGAAAAAAATATGCACCCATGGAAGCAGCCTACCTTTCAACGTGTTAGGAGAACAGGGCAAGAAACCTCTAAATCAACCCGAATTTTTGCTCTCCTGTGTAGTCTGAGTTACAGAGATTTCATCATAGCCTCAAGGCTGTTTCCCAAATTACCTACCCTCTCTCAGAACCCTTCCACTTCTCTGCTCCCTTGTATGTAATATTTTCAGATTTTTTTTCTCCCAAGAGGACATTTTGAAATGTGCATGTCATGGTTCAGATCATAACCACACCAGGCAACCTTCTTTCCTCCCTGATGTTTACTGGGTTTTATATTCTCCAATATGAACTGAAAAATGTGTGTACTCAAGCCCTTGCCAATGAACAGCATGACTTTCCATGGTTCATAAAAACTCACCCATCCCCTGTGTAGGAAAACCATTCTCCTTTGCACAGAGCAGGAGTTCACTACTTCAAAACATGGAAACCATATGGTGACATGTTTTAAAAGAAAACATAACAAAACAATGTCCCACCCATAACCCTTCCCAACAGAAAAACCACCCTTTTCATCCTGGAAAACTGACCAGTACAATCACCTGGTCTACCACAAGGTTCCGGCTGCTGTTGTGTGAGGAAGGATGAGCATTGACACCATGTTTGTGTTT